AATATGATTTTTATAGCTTGCCAAAGGTCATGTTGTTGTATGGCCACAATCCTAGAGATACCTATGGAACAAGTGCCATTCTCTGTAGTGGACAATATAGCAAAATAAAGCTCACAAAAGGTCAATGTATCCATTTGTATTTGTTCAATCCAATTATACATATTAGATTATTAATATATTTCCACATAATATATTAATCCACATAGAGTGACTTCAAGAAGACATCTGTACAGATGCACAAGATGTTGATATCTAATACATACCTGATGAATGCACAGTTGCACCACATAGTTTTTTGAAAACCCACTATATTGCATATTCCATAACCTTCCTAAACAGCTGCTTTTAATCCTTCCTTATTCTAATTTTTAATATCTATAATGAGGGAAAAGGATGTTTGGTGCTCTACAGAAAAGAGCACACCGCAATAGAGAGCCTTGCACTTATGACTTGCATTTCAGAAAGACCATTTATATTTTTTGTTTCTCTAGTTAACTACCTTGAAAGACAACTTGATAAACTGGAAATAAAAGCGGTGCTGCATTAGGTGGACCTTTCATCAGATCCAGCAGCATTCTTTGTACATTTTTCAACAAAGAGTCACCATACTCTAACTAGTGCATATTTATTCCTACATAGGTTATAAATACATTTTGAAGAAACAAGAATGATGTGATCTTTGGCCCAAAGTGATTACATAGCAATAGAACACAAGGAAAATGAAACAGAAAAGGGAAGGATAACAAAGGATTAAATACTGTATCTTGTTCCATCATTTCACAAAGGGGTAAGGATCAGACAGGAGAATATTAAAAAAAGGTCTTCCAAGAAAATGGCAAAGAAAGAAACATAAAGTGACAATCCAAAATATAGGAGTTAGCAAAGTAAACCTTTACTTCATCTTATAAAATGTAAAGCCAATTCATTGTCACTAGTAAACATATGTTCAAAATCCTGAAAAGCTTCAAAGGCATAGAAGCATTCCCTGCTACTTCTTCTTAACTGTCTGATTAACTTTACTTTAGTCTAAAGACTATTGGCTGAACACCATGATTTGGCTTTATGAAAAATGAAGCATACTTCAACTATGACAAAATGTATAACTTTCAAAGAAATCAGGCTTTTATTCCAGGAGTGGCAGTGGAGAAAACAGAAGATGCAAAGAGATTTGTACTATGACAATTTGCAAATGTCAACTTTAGTCGTTGACGGTTAGATATTCATTTCAAATATATTCCATGTTTTCTCCAAAAAGCATTAGCGAAACATTTCAGGTCAGGTCAGAAGACCCATGTTTTAAATACCACTCCATGCTCAAGAAAATAACTTCACACATTAACATTATTTTTTCCCACAGAGGGATGAATGATCAATGAAGACAACATCATATGATGTTCCCTATGATTGAGTAAGGGGTCTGTGTGCAGATGTAACCTGTTCAATATCTCAAATCACTAGTTAAAAGACCTCAGACAGCAATCAATCAATCAACACAATTCTTGATCTGCTAGTCAGCAAGCACTAAGGCATAAGGCTAACTTTGTATCAGCCAGTCTGTGTATTGATATAGCAAAATTATGTCAAATCAGTTTCACACACACACCAACAAAAATGCTACCCCTCTAGTTTCTTATTGCTTCTCTGACAATTTAAAGGGCAATCTTTGCTCATAACATTCTCTGGCTAAACTTGTAAGTTGCACTAAGTCATGTTTTATTTTATTGTGGTTTACTGAATAAGTCACAACCATTTGGATATATGCACATTAAATCAATATAATTGCAATATTGCTTAAGCTATTGTGTCAAGTCAGTTACTGTACATCCCTCTTAATCTTTGATTTTTTTACATAGAGCTCTAATTTGTTTTTGCAAAATGCTCCTTTTATAAATTATGAAGAAAATAGGAAGGAAGGAAGGAAGGAAGGAAGGAAGGAAGGAAGGAAGGAAGGAAGGAAGGAAGGAAGGAAGGAAGGCATTAAGTTCTGATAGTCTTGCATTCTTCTATACTTTTCAATCTCTTCAGACAGATAGAGGATTCACAATTATTTATTTAGATTATCAACAGAGAACTAGTAGCAAGATTCCACTCCCAATTTCATTTTAGGCATAAAGTCTAAAAAACAACGATATGATAAATTAGTACTCATATAGAGCTTCTGAATATTTATAGCATTCCACATGCATAAAGCTTTATGAATAACCTTGGAAAAGAACAATATCAATTTATCACTATATTCTATATGCGAAATGCTGAGACTGAGAAAAGGTAGTTTGCATGAAGCCACTTATGCGGTAATCTTGTATGAATTACTTGAATATAGCTGAATAGGACTGTGTTGTTAATGATTTCACAGCTAAGATAGAATAGGGAACTAGAGGACTTCCCACATCACAGCATAATTTTTTAAGCACCATGCTGCATCAGCTCACATTAACTTGCACAATGAATTCACAGCATCTGTGGTTTGAAATCAAACATCTAAAGTCCAAATGCGATACTTTAAGCATAGAACTCTTGAATAATGCTTTAAAGATGCTTCAAAATATAGCTTATAACTATTAATTTTCTAAGAATTGGTGTTGGAAAGAAAAATGTTTTCCAAGGGGCTCAAACAATGGCATAAACTTTTTTGGGGGGAGGAAACTTAAGCTATTAAAACTACCTCAATATACAGAATGAGAAAGTAGATAATATGGCCTTTGATGATGCTCAAAACCAATCTGAATCAGCATACATTAACTTAGAGAAACCATGGGGGAATTCAAGTAACCTAAATATTAAACTCTCCAGTTTGAATCAATATTCTCACATCATATTCCACACCTGCAAAGAGCTGAATGCAGCAACAGCTGACAACATTTGACTTGTCATGCTTTTCTGTTTGCAAGATGATCACCCTTCCCCATCCTGCAATAGCTGGCACACCCCAGTGTCTCCAGCGACTACTCCCTCTGCACTAGGCTCTCACTTCATGAAGGCAGAGGTCTCTTTTTCCAACCTGTGCATATTGTGCACACTAAAATTGTCAATATTTTGTCATTTAAAACCCTGTCAAGAAACCCATGAACAAATGCTTTTTTGGTTAAACAAGGTATATAAAAATTAGTATTTTACCCACATAATCTGTACCTGAAATCTTCAACTAATTTCAGTGTCCTGGAGTCAACAATACTATTAAAGTTTAATTAAAAGCAAGCATTTAATCTTAATGAAACTATGACTAAAGATGCCTAAATAGTCTGAACATCAAGTGCCTGTTCAATATTAGAAACAACTCTCCAGAAAAACTTAACAATGGAGCCAAATGTCTCTCATTTAGCTCAGAATTATTTCACTTTTGTTAACATCTATTCCAATTAACCATCCAAACAAAAAGAAATACTGCTCTCCAAGATAATTTTAAAAAATTGTCCTTCCCCTGTTAATACCTCAGACAATAATTTCTTATTTTAATATAACCCAGCAAATCCTATCATCATCCCACATATCATACAATCCAAGATTTCTTGTCTATATCCCCTGCATGGAATGTGGAGACCTACAAATCTGGCTATCCCTCTTTGACCTTTTTACATGCCTTGGAAAATCATCACCCTGACCTATGCAAAAACAAATTTCTTGGGAAAAATATTTTATCAGTAATCCTGTCCCGATAAATGTATTTGCAAGGTTACCTGGGTGCTGTAACAGTAACCCAAGATTTCCAGAAGCTTGGGAAAATCCAGAAGGGACAAAATAAAACAACGTATTGATACTATCACTCCCTACTCTCCTCTTGAATAAAAACTAATCCAGAAGAACCATTATCACTGTTTGTAAAGGGCTTCCCCCCACCCACCCCCAAAAATCCCCTCTGGAGCACAGATCAAAACCACCATTACTCAAAAAAAGATTGCAAATGCCTTCATCCTATCTCTCTGCCTGCTCATAAAGAGTAGCTAAAGTGGGGTAACAGATAACTTATCTGTGTTAACGCTATTGATCAAACAGAGAAAAAGAACTGGCTGCTGCACCCTCAAAACTTCTGATCGTCTAAATAAAAATAATTAAAAGAGCTTGTTTAACAGGCTCTCCTCCTTCAGCTGCGAAAAGAAGAAGAAAAAACATCTTTTTCCCGTCCTCTCTCCACTCTAAAATTCTCAAGATCTCACAAAGTCACTCGGGATGCGTTCCGAAAAGAAATACTGTACTCACCCCTCTAGTCCCAAACGGACAAAAAGAAAAAGAAAGACCACTAGACCGATCAAAACAAAAGGAAAAGAGAGACCCTCTTCTCCTCCTCTTCCTTTGCACGATCGCCCTTCGCTCCCGAACAGACCTGATCGTGCCCTTCGCCGTCAAAAGGATACTCACGTTTTGGTTCTGGTTACTTTTTTCTCCACTTGACCATTTAGAAGCAGAAGTTGGGGGTGGCTTCCAAATAGGAAAAGCAACGAGATTTCTTTTTGGGGGGATCCTGCAAAATAAAATGGAGAGGAGCTCCAGAGGGGGAATTGCTTCAGACTCCCAAGCTCTGCTTCCCCTGAACCCCCCAAGGAAAGAAAAAAAACCCCTCCCACTTCTTCCTGCTCCCTTTTGAGCTCAATCAGACCAGACTGACTGCCTTTGTCTGTCTGACAAGCGCCATGTTGATATCAACATCCTAACTCCCACCTGCTGCCGCTGTGAGATCCTGGGACTTGTAGTTCCTTCTTCCCAAGGGTAAGAAGATAAAGTGGGCCGTCCAGGACTACAACTCCCAGAGACCTGCGCTAAAACTGCCACACCAATGGCTAACAGTAAACGGGAGAGTGATGATCAGGACGAGAAAAAACTACGATTCCCGTCGTCCTCTCTAGATCGGCGAAGATATGGCTAGTCGTGACATCATTTTTAGAGTGGGAGGAGTGAATAAGAGGGCAGGCTGCAGTAATGGACTACATTACCCAGGATGCAATGCAAGAGGTTTAGCCCAGGAAAGAGAAGCATGGTCCCCTGTATATAGAGCCGGGTAAAGCATGAAGCTGGTGAGTTGGGTGAGCTATTGGTGGGTTTTGATGCAGGAAATTTGAGGACTGACACGAGAGGCCATCTAATTTCTCTCTCTTGTACTGCAACTCTGGAGGGAAAGTTTGCAATTTCTCATGATCCATTTTGGTGGGATAGTTGTAATTTGATGAGTCTCAATTGTTTTTTTTCAGCCAACTATAATGTATTGTTTTTAGTATTGTTAGCTTGATTAGTTTTATTTGCAACTCCTGCCCCCACCCACCTATGTGAACTCTCTGGATATTTCTGGGAGAAAGAATGATATAGAAATACAAATAAATAGTATATGCTTGATAGGCAAAAATCTATCTTTGTTTACTCTTATGTTATGACATACTGAATTAAATACTAAGATCTATTGAGGTTATGCAGCATTCAACAGTGTCTGTCTCTTTCCATCTCCCCAGTAAGAGTTGTAGTCCACAGTTTAAACTGTCACACAATATAGAAATGCATTATTGAATATCAGATACATTGGCTCTCATCTGTTGAATGTTCAATATCATTCTTTATATTGCATTTATATAACATTTTTCCTCTTGAAAACTCCAAGTACATAAAATGCTCATGCAAGAGAGAACACTACATAAACATCTCAGTGATATGAGTTGGACTAAGAGAGAGTGATAGTCCAAAGTTAGCTAGTGAGATCTATGGATGAGTGGAGATTTGAAACTTGGTGTTCCTGGTTCAAATCTATACTTAGCTTCTATACTGTACTGGCTTTGTTGCCAGCAAGATTGCAAAAACTCTGACTTTCTGGTTTTGATCTCACAAGCTTTTTATTAAAGGCATATAGAATTATTTTGAAATCAAGTATACTTTCTTACTTTAAACAAAACCTGATACTATGGTCATTGTGGGCATCTCCTTTGTTGTCTGCACTGTACAAATAAGGGAAAGGCCTAACATGCAAATAAGACTACTAATCCCTGGAAGCCTTATGGGAAAACTATCATGGCATAACCTTCCCTTCCCTTTTCATTTGATATTAAAAAGTGTCAAACAGTTATCATTTTAGTAATAGTAAAATGATATTCAAAGCACATCCTTACAGTATAAAACAGCCTTTTATAATTTGTACCCACAAATGTCTTGGATTAGAATTCTTAATATCCCCAGCCAATATGTGTTATCTCAAAGATGCAGTAGTGTACACATCTGAAGATATCAGTGTGAGGAAAATCTGTTATATAAGGTTCCTGGGGCAAGAGAAGAAAATGCTAGCCAGTTAGTTGGCTCTCATGCTGTATTTGTTTTGTTTTGCTTTATTTTATCATTTATTTTATTTTTATTTAATAGAAACTTTGAAATGTCAGATCAGGTGATAAAGAAGTTAACATTCAGATTTACTTATTTAGAAAATTTAGCACTTTTAAACATTTTTTTAACAAAATGTTTCTTGGTTGCATCATTTTTATTCTTTTTTAGTGAATTAAAACTTCTTCTAGGGAAATTGAGACCAACACATAACATTCATTGCATTTTAAAGAGACTAGTATATTTCACTCAAGAATAGGCTGTTCACTTATAGTATTTATTCTAATTCTTTTGTTGAAAAGCTTCTTGGGAAGCTTGTAGACACCAACAAAAGGATATAGGAAGAGGAAGGGAAAAAATGAAGGAGGCACCGGTTCATGAAATGTATACTGTTTGCTTATTCTGATTTATTTCTCACTGCTTTAAATAGGACTTGCTCCCAATCCGAATATGCCCAGGATTACAGCCTAAATGTTGCATCCCATTTAGTGGCTGCAGTTTAAGTTTACTAGGGTAAACATATTATGATACTGTTCCATATGTTACTTATTTGAAATGTAATACATGACTGCTCCCATTTTGTGGTTCTTAGTGGCTTATGAATATCTAAAATCCAATTTAAAATTCAATATAGTGATTAAAACCATTGAAATATTGCCAGCATAACAACATCTAAACTAAAAGACCTTGGTAGAAAGATGTTAGAAGCCGACCTCCTAAGTGCACCAATCTAAACTGCACAATGAATTGTTCTATAGTATACATTTTTCTACAGAAAAAGCAGAGTTAGCTACAGTATAGATGTTAACTGTATCTGTAACCTATAACAATAATACTGTAAACCTGGTCAGGACACACCATATTTCACACCTTCAATTGTGTCCAGAAACCAAATGGTAACTAGTGTATCTGTTTAATATAGGAATGATAAATAGTATTATTATTTTTATTGTTCAAAAATTCCATAAGCCGTAACAGGTTAGAAAAGGGTAAAAGGTTTTGTTTTGTTGTTTTCAGTAACTTGTTTATTGTTTGGGTACTACCTTCCGTCTCAAACTGATTTAACCTATAAACTGGCTTAGTTCCTAACGTGCATTTCCACTTTAAATTCGTTCAGCTTTATAATGGGACTTTTTCCTCACATGCACACACACACCCCTGTATACACACATTTGCTGCCATTGAATATGTTGCTGATGTGGGAATCCGTGAGAGTCTTCCGAAAGTCTGAAAGAACTTAGACTTGATCATTCTTTCTACTCATATTCTTCTCAGAAAATGGATAATGCTTTCCCCTTAATGTCATTGTACCATGTCTACATCTGTCAATAGCTCTAAATGACTCTGTGTCCTTTCCTCTTTCTTGTCCATATACAAGAGTGCACAGATATTGGAAACATTCAGTGAAGGATCAAGATTCTTGATCTTGTTTCCTGATCTTTTTCTCCAGCTGAAAGTTTGAGCAATAGGGGTTGCTCAAGTTTGGGAGTGATATATCTCAAATTTCACTGCTTCTGCTAATAGCAGCTGGTGAATCTGCTTCTATATATCCTAGATCTTTTCGAATGATCATTGTCTACTTGAACATCTAATCCCAGAAAAAGCACTGAGTTCCATTCTTACTTAGAAACTGGATGGTAAACTGTTCATTGCAAACCATCACACCAGCATAACTAATCAGAGTCCAGTGTTTTGCTGCCACAAATATAATTGTACTCAGAATGCATTCTGCATTTCAGTGGCCTCTGTTGCTGTTCCGTGAGGTATAGCATAACGTGATGCATATTAATTTAAGAAATGTTAATTATACTCTGGTAGGCATAAATAACCATAAACCAAAGTCCAGTAGATATTGAGAAATACTGCACAATAGTAAAAATTATTTTTATGTATCCAAAGAAATCAGTTAAGAATTGTCATCACCTAGAAATTTTTAAATATTATTAAAATATTAAAATAGTATTTAAACATGGTAAGGATTCTTAGATAGTATCAAGTCTCCTTCCTGTATTCTGAGTGTACTATTATCTTTTCCTAATGCTGGTACTCAATATGATTTTTGTTTTAGTACTGCTTGTCTGGGCATCCGACTTTACCATGCAACGTACTCAAGTTCAAATCTACCACCATCATGTTGGACTGTGGGCTCGATATGACCTCAGCTCTCAACTTTCTCCCACTGCCTTTGGCCCAGAGGTGTGTCTTTTGTGTGTCTGTGTTTTTCCCATTCCAGTTTTACTCTGTACTTCATAAACCTTTGGGGGAAGAAGGGATTCATTAAAAACGAGAGTGAAACATTGTTGGGGAAGGCCAGGGGTTAGGGTTATAAGAAAGGAGTTTGAAATGAACATGCAGCAGCATCTGATAGTATAAAGAGTTTGTCCACTTAAAAATTCCCTTTATCAAAATAACATCCTTTGGCTCAGTAGATGGAAAGCATTTTATGGATTTATCGATTTGGTTTCCAGATAATTTATTCTAAGCGTCGCTAAAATATTGCAGCAGCAGCTCAGCACAAGTGAGGTCAGAGAACTGTCCTCTCTCTGGCTTCTTCATGCAAGAGGAGACAAATGAGAGGTAAATGTAAAGTGGAACCATGCCAGACATATATTTCTCCCCAGTTAACCACCTGTGTTGCAGATTGTTTGTTTTGGCAGAAGGAAAGTTATTCAATGATTCTGAGTTTGGGGATCTTTTACTACTATTTATTACAAAACGCAAGAAAAATGCATGTCATTCTGGTGCTAGTTAGAAGGCACTAGATCTATGCAGAATTATGGCTTTAAAGGTAAAAAGACACTTAAGAGTGGGTAGAGGCACCTATATAGCACCTATCTGCAAATACATCTTTTCGTGGAATAGCACAGCATCTATGGAAGGCATGATGCCCAGAAGAGATGCAGCTGCTTAAGGAGTTGCAGACAGATGTTATATTTGCGCCCTCTTGTGTTCCAGAGCACTTTCTTTCTTTTAAATCTAAAGTTTTGCACAGCCTTAAAAGGTTTTTTCAGTAAGGAGACTTCATCTAAATAGGTCTTTGTCTTATAGAATACAGAATAACAGAGTTGGAAGGGATCTTAGAGATCTTCTAGTCCTTGATCAAACAGGAGACTCTATAACATTCTAGGCAAATGGCTGTCCAATCTCTAGTAGCTTCTAGAGGAGAAGAAGCAAGAGATACATTTTAGAAATAGGCAATGTGCTATACTACCCATCGACACCCAAATATCTATAGCCTTCAGCTAGCCTTCCTTCCCCATCTGACTTTTTAAAGAAACTATTCTTTTAATGCTACAACTCAAGCTTTTAGCATTCTTTTCATTTTAAACGATGCAACACAAACTTCTATAATGCTCTTTAAAGAATGCTTTCAGGGCCCACCTAATATTCTAAAAAATAAATATGGTAAGTGACTGCAGTTCAGTGCCTTGTTTGGAAATGCACCCGTCTGCCAAGAATAATGGATTGTGGCCAGGAGAGAGGATTGGAGGAGACAATACAGGCAAAACACTTGTTTGCCTGCTCATAAAAGGGTTGTAAGAGTAGAATCCCTTCATCCCAGCCTTTTGTGAAAATGCTTGTGACTGTAATTCCAAATATACTTACCATCTCAAGCCAATAGATATACCAGTATCCATTTGACCTTCTTGAATCATAGCTGCAATTACTGCATTCCTTGGCTATCTATCAAAAAAAAAATCTAAGGCTAAGTTGAAGCTTGATCAAAAAGTTACCATAACGTTGCTATAAATGTTACCAGTTTGTCTCCAATTTTTTCCTGAAGTCTAAAACTAAAGCATCTGAAACTATTCTATCACCACTTTTCTCATCTGTTCCTTGCTCTATATACAGGAGTACATTATTGGTTCCACTGTCAAATAGCTTTTATTCTCCAGACATTAAAATTTACCGTTACCAGTTATGCGTTTTATATTGAGCTGGATGTAATAACATTCAGCATCTGTGTTCTGCCTTCTGGTACAAGCTTTCATCTTGATCTTCTATGTAACACTCTTTCAGAGATTTAATAAGGGCTGCATATCTATTTCTTATTTTTTATCACTGTTGGATTTAAATTCTAACTTTTCACTAGGATCACAAGATGTTCTACACAGCACTCCCTACTCCAATTTGATCCCCACAAAGTCATCTGACGAGCTTCCTTGGCTGAGCATGGTCATGAACTTGGGTTTCTTCAGATCTGGTCCAACCCCTTAACCCTTGTCTTACAGTGGTTCTCATATCTTTCCCTTATCATTAATCACTCCTCATAAGATTTGTAGTTCTCTAATCATTGTCATTGCCCCTATCTGCATCAGTTCCAGTTTTCTATATGTTCTTTAAAATATGGTGCCCAAAGCTTGACAAAATACTCAAGGCTGGGTTTGACATAAGTAGAATATAATGGAACAATTACTGCAGCCAAAATACACTGATAACTCATATTATGTTTGTGTTCTTCTACAATACCTCTTTCACAAGTGGTATTATCATGCCAGATATCCCCATCCTAGATTTGTGTATTTGATTTATTTTTCTTATGTATAGACCTTAGTACTGTATTTATTTATCAATCAAACAATATTTGTACCCCATCTTACTCCTGAAGGACTTTTGATGGCACACAGCATTACTAAAATGAGAGATTACAGTAATTACAAAAGCAAATGTCATTCCTGTGATCAAAATATTTACAATAGATATTTTCAATCAAATCACCTAGGGCTGAATGTAGTTTTTATTAAATGCAAGAATGGTAGGAGCTGCCCATATCTTTGTGGGAGAATATTCCAAAGGCTGCTGTGGAGAAGAGGTCCACCCTCTTCTCTTGGTTCTAATGAGAGGTAGAATTCTCAATAGGCTTTCCCTAAACAACTGGTCCAGATGGGCAGATTTAATTCTGTCAAATCATTCCCCAATGTATCCCAGTGCTACAGTTTAAAGAACTTTACAGATAATGTCCACTTTGAATTAAGCCCACAAGCTTACTTGAAATATAAATAAAGCTGAAGCCCAGTTTTTCAGGGAGACTGTTAACCTTTCTTGATTGAGAGAAGCTACACAGCTACTTGGAAGACCTGAAGGAACAGATTATAGATAGCACATCATGAAGAAAATCTATCTATGTTAGTAACTAAGAGTCAACATCGACTTGATGGCACATAGTCAATTGATCACACAGCTGCTTGTCTTATTTATGAGATAGGTTGAACTATTTGAAATTAATCAATCATTTCATTATAATGTCAACAGTCAATCAGTGAGAATTGTTTTATTTCAATAACTTCTAGTAAAGAGCCTCATATCATAGGAAATGTGGGTCTTTCCCACTGCTCATTTATATACCCTAATCAGTTGGGAACACCTTGTACTTACAAATATGGATCATAAAATTCTTGAACCAAGTCCTTAAATATACTTCTGTCTTTAAAAAAAGCCCCTCTCTGTAAAAATATGGTAGAGTATTTGTATAATATAATGTATATGTCATGGTTCCAACAGACAGAGACAAATAAAGCAGAACTCCAAGGCTTGGAAATTCCTCAAAGAAATTAGTTACAAGTATTGGCACAATCAAAAGTGAAACCAAGTCTGAATTTACAACTAAAAATTACCTGATTACAAAGTATAATGTCCTACCCACAAAACTATGCAATCGACTATGTTCCCCAATATATTCATTTGGCGGGCTTTTTTTTAACAATGCCCAGTCCCTGATTGCAGGAGCAATAGATGACCTTTGTTCCCACGGGACAGAAGATTATTTTGATTAGGGAAGCACCTGGGCAAGCCCCCCTCCCTCCGTTCTATGTGGCAACCTAGAATGAGGAGAAAAATGGCTGCAGCCAGGTTCATTGTAGAGTTGACAGTATAATTTTATATGTTATTCTATGTAATGGCTATAATATATATAACGGAGATCAAATGCAGTTGTATCCCATCCTTTGTCCCAAGACAGAAAACTTAGAATTAGCCATTCAGTCTTCTCACATCACCCATGCATCATGGACCAGTTTTAGGAGAGTATTGACTCAAGATCAACAAGTATAACCAAACTTTTTAGTTCTCTCTGGAAATTTTTCCTGGATTTTTTTACCCTTTATGATTAGGTCTTTTTTGTAGTAGGAAAGTGAACAAGAAAAGAGCATGGAGAGGCTTAGTTCAGATATGCCTCTTTCAGTGCATTGACTTTCTAGCTTCTTTTAGACTGAACTGAATCTATTGCTTGCTTATGCTATATAATGGAGTTCAATTCTCTTTCGTCTCATCTATAACATATATTCAAAGCTACTGGGAATGTTCGTCTGTCATTAGAGGCTGAGGTATCATTGTTACACAGATCATGTTCAGATCCAACCTGGTCTGAGCTGAATATGCAGTTGGAGCCTTGACCTGGTTCTTGGAAGCTATGAGGAGATGGATGGAAAGAAATTGGGTGAAGTTGAACCCTGTTAAGACAGATTTGCCATTTTTCCCGGAAATCATCTGGCTTACTTTATGCTGTGTTAAGAGTTGTGCTCCCTTGAAAGAGCAGGTCTGTACATTGGTTTTCCCCAGAATCACAGAAACTATGAGGTGGAGGGCATGGCTAGTGGAGTCTTGCCCAGCTTTGATTGATGTGCTAGTTATGGCTCTTCCTGGAAGGAGAGGCCCTGGTGGCAGTGAATCTTCCCCTTATCACCTCTAGAACAGAATACAGTACTATAATTTGCTTTTTATTCACTGTGCCTTCTGCAGACTACCCAACAACTGCAGTTGGTACAAAATGCGGCAGCCCACATATTGCTGGATGAGAGCTATCATTATTATATTACATTCCGTGATTGATAGCTCTGCACTGGCTACCAATAGGCTTCTGAGCATCATTTAAAGTGCAGTTTTAACCTATGAAATCTACATGGCTCGGCATTCAAATACTGTATATCTAGAACTGTCTTCTTCGGGTAAAATCAATTCACCCAGACTATATGTCCGGAATAGGAATGTTGAGGGTCTCCTTCCCATGCAAGACTGGAGAGAGGGCAGGAAACACTCTATCATTTGTGGTGGTGGTGATGGTTTTTCGGGCTTGATCCTTTTAGAATAGCCCCATCCAATAATTTGTATGACAGTCTCCTGTATGATATTTAGGCAGGCATTTTTTTCATACAGCTCTTAATTTGAAGACTATGGTTGGAGAATAGACACAGGAAAAT